GGGGGAGGGGGTGGAAAGGCGAGGCTACTGTAGAGTTGGTTTGTGATGCTGGATGGATTATGAGGGATTGTTGATTTTGTAATTTTACTGTTGTGACGATTTGAAAGTTGAGATTAGGTATGACGGACTTTGAATTTCAGGAGATAGTTTTGATCAATTAAGTACTGGATTATTATACCGCAACCTGAAAACGCCATTCCTTGAGTCTATTCATAAGCTTTTCCATTCCTTTCCTTTCCTTGCCGTTCCGGTCCTTTACCCCTACCCAAACATACCACAGCTAACCTTGAGCACAGCAAAGCTTCTCTTTCCCCTCTTTCACCGCGACACAGTCACAGTCTCCGTAACCGTCTCGGTAACCTTTCCCACAGTAATATACACTGTATCCTTCGCACTCGGACCTTGTGTTGGGACCGGCGAGTTGATAGGGATGATCGTTACAACTACTCCATTCCCACCTCCACCATTTCCATTTCCTCCATTGCCGCCTCGTCCTCCTCCGTTGCCATCATTTCCATTGCCTGAGCTACTGGTGGGTGTAGGTGTAGGTGTAGGCTGTTGAGGCGTGATGACAACTGTGATCGTACTTTGTTGGCGGACGGTTGTTGTGGTCGTTTGCTCTTCTGCTGGGGTGGTAGGAGTGGGATCAGGCACAGTGACCGCGGGCGTGATGGTTGAGGTGGGTGCTGGAGCCAGTGTTGGGTTTGGCTCGACGGGTGATGGCGTAGGTGTAGGCTGAGGCGTTGAGGCCGCCGGAGTCTCGATTGGGGACGAGGTCGGCGGCGAAGGAGATGATGTAGGTGTAGGTGTCGGAAGAACGAGGGGCACTGTGGTTTGGAAGGGTGTTGGAGTGACAACTGAGCTGGAAGGTGTCGGTGCAACGAGAGGGAGTGTGGTTTCGCTTGCGAAGAGCGTACTCTCCGTCGCCAGACCTGAGGTCAATACCTGTGTCTCTGTACTTCCTTGACCTGTTGACACCGTACTCGTCGCGCCGTCTCCACCCAACACCTTCCCCGCTGTCCCACTATCCACACATCCTACGAACACACCTTTCGTAACATTCATCGGCATCGCGACACAACTCGTCCCTGTCTCACACGTCTCGATTTGGAAGCTGCCTTCGGCATTACACTGCGCTTTGTTGCCGGATATACATGCTATCTCGCCGGCCGTACATGGGGAGGAGAAATTGAGGGTTGAGAAGAGAGCGTTGTAAGACTTGGCGTCGGCGAGGTTGGAGGCAAATGTTGAGGCATCGACAGTGCTGGTTGGGAGGGGCGTAGTGGGTGCGATGACTGTGGGGATCCGGGGAGTGCTCGTTATCGTGGGAGCGAAGGGTGTGAGGGTCGTCAAGGGGGTGGCTTGGAGCGACGATGCTTGTGAGGAGGATGAGGATGAGGGGACAGAGGCGGTGAGAGAGGAGATGTCTATTGTAATTGTCGTTGAGGCTGCGCCAGAGGGAAGTGGAGATGGCGTTGACAGAGTCGGGAGGATTATCGAGCTAGTGTTATTAAGTGTGAATCTCGGTATGGAGATTGACGATGAGGATGAAGGGATTAGACTGCCGGCAGTCGATATTGGTGATGATGTTAGGGTTGGTATTGGCGAGCTCTCGGACTCGCTTGTGTTTGTGGAAGTACTGGATGTCGTGGGAGAGGCCGACGAGCTGGTGCTCTCGTCCTGCCCGCCGACGCTTGTACCAGGTCTGGTTGCTGCAGGCGGAACGACATGCGTGGGACTCTCTGTCACGGGTTCGAGGTCTGATGCTGGACCAGTGAAAGTTCGTGGTGGCGATGAAGTGACTCGACGCGATGATGGTGTCGGAGTCTCGAGCGGAGTTGATGAGGATGATGTTGTCGGCTCCAAGCTCGTGGAGGGGGACGTGAGCTCTGCTATCGAGGAGCTTGGACTCGACGTGCTATCTGATGTCGGCTGATCGGCCGTCGCACTGATAGTGGAAGGTTCGCTCGAGGACATCAGGGCTGAAGTTGGCTTGGAGGTGTCCGGGAGTGTCGAACTCTCTAACGAAGAATCGGACGAACTCGAGGTGGGAGTCGGTGTTTCTAGAGGTGAAGACGTCGAAGCCTCAATGCTCGTCTTGGGCGTCGTGAAAGTAGACAACGGCACGCGCGTCTCACTCGCTATACTCGAACTCGACCCGTCAAGCGGAATGATCGTGACGGCCGGCACCCCTGCCTGGGCTCCCCCGACACCATCTGTACTCGTCGTCGGTATCGGCGTCGACGTGTTCGAGAATGTGAAGCTTCGTGCCATTCTACTGTCATCAGTACTTGCTTCGGCAAATTCGTCCTCTTTTTTGTGGCAAAGGATTCGACTTACAATCTCCTCCCATCATTCCTGCCACCACGCCTCAGCGGACCAGCCTCGCTCAAAGATATTCCCAACAACAGCAACACACCCCATGTTCTCAGATAAATCTTCATGTCTCCACAAAAGCAACAGTGATATGTCCTTCTGTATATAGATCAACAGATCAACAGTACCAACAACCACAAACTACCGTGCCGCTGACCTGCGCGGGCTGCAGATGTGAATCAAGTCCTCCCGTAAACCTTAAGCGTGCTGCAATAGATCGATAATAAGATAAGTGTGACCTTTGTATATCGGACGAGTGAAACGATTCAGTATGAAGACGATGCAATGGAAAATGAGGCAATGAAATGAACGACGACGACGATGTGAAGCACTGACCTCCAGGTACGCAAAAGACAGGAAGAGAAAGAGAAAGCGATATGGAAAGATCGAAAGACGGACAGCACAGAGCAGTGGGCTTCAAACGAGAGAGAATCGCGTTGCGAGACGATGGGACGAGAAATCGTCCGAAAGACGTAACAGGATATGACAGCATCTTGTACTTCGTTTCATCTCCTCGCAGTCAGTACCCAGCGACCTGAGAATAGGCACCGTTTCTCTAGTCTCCTAGTCTTTTAGTCTCGACCCAGTCTGGCCTCAGACAGAACAGCATATGGGTATTTACATTGCGTTCATGGCCAGCCAGTCGACTGGGAATAGCAAGGTCGAGTCTAGGCCTGGGGTGAAGAGTGGGCGGCTTGGGAAATGAAACCCTGCTTGCCGACCAAGCTCGTCTGTCTCGCTTGTTGCAAACTTGCGATTTTGATATCTTGGTAAGGAAATCTCAGAGAAGAGAGGCTAGGAGAGATCTCAAGCTTTGCAAATGAAGGTAAGTTTCGTCTCATGTACACGCGCCGACCGGGGCGTTGGTTGGCTCTGGTCTCTCCCGCGGTTCTTTGTGTTCTGTTCCTGGTTTTAGGCCCGGACCGAACGTCTTACTTTGTTCATCCCGCTGCTGCTCACTGGTTGGCTGAAATGATGTGTTGTTGTGTTGTGAAGTGGAGAGGTTTGGATCGAGGTGTTTGAAGTTACCGCGTTGCAGACGCGAGGAGGGTGTTGATTGGTTGCGGGGGTTGGATGACAGGGCTGCGATACCATTGGCTGGCGGTTAAAGATGCTCAAATGCGGAAGGGTACGACAGATGGCGGAAAGGGAGATTAAAGGAACGAGAATACGCTGTAGACGCGAGAGAGAGAAAGATAATTTAATGTTGAAGCGCACCGGCTGCTATTTTGGGATCTATCCAGGCGAAGATCACGAGTTTGTGATATATCATATGACCATTTCGGTTGTCAGAAATCTTTGTTGCATGTCGCACTCGTGAACCGACTACTCAACAGCGTGCAAGCTGATTTTCTTACCAACTCTTTGGAAAATGGGACAGCATTTCCGGCGAAGGTCGACTTTCTGCTTGCGGGCTGGGAAGTAGAAAAGAATAGAAGTAGCTACTTTGAAGTCGCTCTAAAGTTGGAGATAGTTGAGGGCGCGGTGAGAGCGATTTGCTGGCGAGTGTGGCAGGCTGGAAGGAGCGGGTGAAAAGGTCTCTTGGCCCCCACGGCTCTTTATCGTCTGGAATACCGGCAGACCAGAAGCAAAACATAAAAATAAATCAAACATCCTTCACAACCTCATCTTGACCTCCAAGATAAATGTAAACGCCACAAAAGCTAAGTAGTGTCAATGCTCAAAGAGCAAAAAGAGGAATGATCAGGCTGGGGCTCGATCCCAGGACCTTCTCGGAGTTTGTTACAGTAAACTGTTAACGAGATGTGCTGTTGCTTATTAGTACTTGGTGCTGAAGAGTCGATGAGAGTTGAATACTTACATAACCAACTACACCACCCGACCATGTTTTCCTTGATTGGATGAGAGTGATCTGCTTATTTGAGTACTCAAATAGATTAGTCATTTTCGAGATGACGGGGAGTTTTGTGCGGTGGGGCATTTCGTTACTGTACAAGGTGGGGGCTCCTGGTCATGAGAGGCCCTTGCCAGCACTGAATTCTGCAAAGCTTCAGGGCTACTAAGTGGTGCTAATAGAGTCTGTAATATTGTTGAATATAATGGACATTATTGAGACTACTGGTCACCGATATACTGAAGTGATCCGGATCGAGCAAAACGGAACAGAAGCTCTCCGCTCTCCCAATCGCGGACAATTGCCAGACCATCAACACAAGTGGGATGCTCAATTCATGGCAAATCACATCACAGCAGATTCCCATCCTCGCCAAACAAGCATCTCCGTCTAGCCATACCTTGGTGGAGCGGAAGTAAAATGGAAATTTATCCTTGCCCTTGAGAGATGCAGATGCAGATAACATGCAGCATGTGAGACCGATACCGCTCACCCACTCAACAGAGCACGCACTGGACTGCAGCTGTCGAATAACCAAATGTCGTACGAGGTGTACGTCGTCTAGGAGAAGATACAAAGAGAAAGCCGTGAATACCCAACTCAAACTCGCAAATCTTCATCTGTCTGATAATGGTCTGCTTGGAGGGAGCCCAACTCCTCCCATTCCGCATCGTCGGACCGAATCCCATCAGCGACCACGAGTCTCGGCGATTCTGCAGAGGAATAGATGTTGAGGCATTTTGAACTGAGATGCGGCTGATGATATGCCAGGTGTGCTATTTAGCCACGATAATTGTCGGTCAGTTGTAGACAGCGTGGTGTTTCCATGGGCTCTTGTTGGGCTGCGTTGGGCTCTGTATTGAGAATGATCATGTATCGGAGCAGAATGCGAGAGGGAAATGACAGAGTTTGTCCCGCGCGGGAAGACATTTGCAAATTCACATACTGATTAAAAAAGTTGTCGACGAATAACGAAGGACAAATTATACCGACCTCAGTCAGTATGTACAGATAGGGGAATTGAATCGGCGCATCTCATCCCTCTTGTGCCTGGTCTAGAATCTGATTAGTAGGCACACCAAGCCATCACTGGATAGGTCAAACCAGCTGGGACACCAAGGCCCCTCTGAGGAAGGTTTCGCTTGTCATGCTGCTGGACTGAAAGTGGCTAGCAGGCAGATTGAGATGCCCTTTAAACCGTTAGAGGGGTCTCCGTTCCTCTCTTTAAATAGTTTGGTCTTTTCGACTGTTGATAATCTCAACTTTTGCCTTCATTCTGACTGTTGAGAAAGCAGTTGAAGTATCGAAGCATCGAAGCATCGGTGGATCAACAAACGATCCGATCAGGTCACCCTGCGGGCCCTCTTTTATCGCTAGGGCTGCAATTACGTCAGGTACGATTGGACGCTCACTCACTCCCTCCCTCCTGTTTTCTTGCTGCCCCGCGTCACAGAACTGGGCTGTTCTGGCCACACCAGCGCGGCAGGACAACTTGCTTGCTTGCTGCTGCCCTGATTTTTGCTGGATTTCTGCCCCACGTTCCACCGCTATTGAGAGCGGATTGGACTGGAATTTCACTGCATTGCATTACATTTCCGTTGAAGATAGCCGTTCCAAGTATCCCGTCTCGTCCAGTCCCAATCTCGCAATTTCGCTGGTCTGGGCTCACTACCCTCCTGGTGCCATTCTGCCGCGTCAAACCACCTTCTTTCTTTTCTTGCACATACTAAATCTGTTCCCTCTTCAACCCTCTTGCGAACCTTCAGCATAGTCTAAACCCCGAACTCACCATGTCGCAGAAAATCCTCGAAGAGGGCGACCAGGTCGCTGAATCCCCTCGCCCTCTGCTTCCAGACCGCCAGGAATCGATTCATCCTGGCCTTCGCCCATCTCTGACCAACGTACCCGTCACGCCTGGCATCCATCTGGGAGAATACGATTCCGAACCCCGCGGTCCTGACGAGCCTTCCTACTTTGTACACGATATCCACAGGTTGAGGGAGACTATGGCACAATCACCGTCTGCGGCTGCTGCAGGCGCGGAGACGAACCGTGATGTTTTAAGAAGGTTGAGCTTGAACGCTAGACCAGCGAGCAGGGAATCTTTGGCAGATGTTGATCCCCGGGCAGCGAATCCGGCATTGAATCTCAGTGGTGGTATTATTTCCGCGACATTCTGCATACCGCATTCGTTGAAGTATAGAAAGGGGCAAGACTGGGTATGTTGATCCGCCATTGGTATTAGGATATCTGCTGACAGTTTAGGTTATGGATTCTCGACGTGGTACCTCTGCGCTGTTCGACTCCTTCCCATACCTTTCCTCTGATAAGACGCCCTGGAATCATACTTTGGTGGGATGGACTGGGGAGATTGATTCTATGGACGAAATTACCCCGCCTGATACCCCTCCAGCGACCACGACTGCCTCGAAACACCCACCCCTGAACAAAAATTCGGCACCTATACCTATTGATGGTGTATCAAAACCTGCTGAGAATCCAGTGGCAGAAGGATTATGGATTCCAAAAGAGGACCGAACTCGATTGGAATGGCAACTTTCACACGATAAGGAGTGTAGGACAGTACCTGTCTGGTTAAGTGACGATGCCGAGGCCGACGGGGACATCAATCTGATAGACCAATCTCGATGGAGACGGTTTGCAGAGCACGAACTTTACACACTCTTCCACTACAAGCAGCACGAACCCACCAATGGCCGAGCAGAACGCTCATCATGGGCAGACTATTATCGAATGAACCAGAAATTTGCAACCCGGATCCTGGAGATATACAAACCGGGGGATATTGTTATGATCCACGATTACCACCTCCTGCTTCTTCCCAGCATGCTCCGTCAACGAATTCCGCATATGTACATTGCTTTCTTCCTGCATATTCCATTTCCCAGTAGCGAGTTTCTCAGATGTTTACCAAGGCGTAAGGATGTTCTGGAGGGTGTGTTGGGGGCGAATTTGATCGGTTTTCAGTCTCACAGTTATTCTCGACATTTCGTGTCATGTTGCACGCGGATTCTTGGATTTCCCTCGGACATTACGGGGGTGAATGCATATGGTGCAAAGGTTACAGTTGGCATTTTCCCGATTGGCATTGATGCAGCTTCGGTAGAGAAGCTAGCATTTGATGGAAACATCATTGATCAGCAAGTAGCAGAGTTGAGAAAGATTTACGAGGGAAAGAAGATCATTGTCGGACGAGATCGTTTAGACAGTGTGCGTGGAGTTGCACAAAAGCTGATGGCTTTCGAGAGGTTCCTTGAGATGTATCCGGAGTGGGTGGACAAGGTGGTCTTGATTCAAGTTACCAGTCCTACCAGTGTTGAGGAAGAGAAGGAAGATTCAGGAAACAAGATCGCCAACAAAGTCGCTGAGCTTGTGGCCAAGATCAACGGACTCTATGGATCTCTTTCCTTCTCGCCAGTTCAACACTATCCGCAATACCTGTCGCAAGAAGAATACCTCGCTCTTCTCCGGGCAGCGGATATTGGTCTCATTACCAGTGTCCGAGATGGTATGAACACGACCAGTTTGGAGTACGTGGTCTGCCAGAGAGACGATCATGGACCACTCATCATTTCCGAATTCTCGGGAACTGCAGGTTCACTGAAGGATGCCATTCACATCAATCCGTGGGATCTTTCGGGCGTCGCCCAGTCCATCAACTACGCCTTGACGATGAGTGAGGATAAAAAGAGCGCTATGCATTCCAGTCTCTACCACCATGTCACGACAAGAAACGTCCAGTCTTGGGTCAATGCCTTCATCAAACGTCTACTCGCTGTTTTGAGTTCCCACAATTCCGTCATTTCGACCCCTCTGCTTGACAAGGCTGCTCTCCTGACACAGTACCGATCAGCAAAAAAGCGTCTTTTCATGTTCGATTACGATGGTACCCTTACTCCGATCGTGGGGGATCCACAATCTGCAATCCCTGGAGATAGACTCATTCGTACCTTGAAGGCGCTCGCCTCCGATCACAGAAATGCCGTCTGGATCATCAGTGGCCGCGATCAAGACTTCTTGAGTCATCACTTGGGTGATATTAAGGAATTGGGCTTCAGTGCTGAACACGGCAGTTTCATGCGTCATCCTGGTAAAGAGGAGTGGGAGAATTTGGCTGAGACTTTCGATATGGGATGGCAGAAGGAGGTCTTTGACTGCTTCCAGAAATACACTGAGAAGACTCCAGGTATGTTCTTCCTCCCCAGGCAAATTTTCACAGCTGACATATCCAGGCTCCTTTATTGAACGCAAGCGTTGTGCACTGACCTGGCATTATCGCCCTTCGGATCCAGAACTCGGCGCCCATATGGCCCGCGAATGCCAAAAGGAGCTCGAGAAGACCGTCGGCAAGACATGGGACGTCGAAGTCATGACCGGCAAAGCCAACCTGGAAGTTCGACCCACCTTCATCAACAAAGGCGAGATCGCCAAGCGTCTCGTCGCATCCTACGGCCAAGCCGTCGGCGAACCTCCCGAATTCACACTCTGTCTCGGCGACGACTTCACTGACGAAGACATGTTCCGTGCTCTAAATGGCAGCCCTCTTGATCCTAGCCACGTCTTCACCGTCACCGTAGGCGCGAGCTCCAAGATGACGCTGGCGCATTGGCATTTGCTTGAGCCGAGCGATGTTATCTCCAGTATTGCGCTGCTGAACGGTGGTGATTCGAACATCGCTGATCTTGGACCGTTGGCTGTTGTTGAGGGGAAAATTCCAGATGAGATGCCTGGGGTTAAGATCCCTGATGAGATGCCTGGTGGCAAGTTGTGAGTTGCTGTTGAGTGAGGGAGATAAGTCTTTGGGAGGCAGATAGATCCGATAAATATCGAAGAAATAGTTACGTGGAGACCAAGTCATTGTAGAAGGAGATGGTTCTAGGTGCTTGGACTTTGAGAGGATAGCAGGGCGAAGATAGCCAATGAGTGAAGGACAGACGAGACGACCGAACGGTGCATGCATGGATGGATG